TTAAAGGTAATCATTTTGAACCTACTTTTTATTGTCTTTTAAAGTGAAAGTTTTAATGAAAAAAAAATGAATTTGTTACCATAACTTATAGTACAACTTGCAAGTTTGAAATTGACATTATTAAATAGAAAAAAATGAAATTGTTAAGATTAATATGCAATCAGGAAATTTTATAATTACTATTTACAGTACATTTTTCAGAAAATTTCGATTTTTTTGCATTTTTATCGTAATAGATCACTTAAATAAAAATCATAGGAATCATTTCTAATTAACTTTTGGCGTTTAAAAAGATTGTACAATGGAAATATTCAGAATTTAATTAATTTTAATGATTATATGACCAAAAAAATCCACAATAAAAAAGTTGTTAAAATGATTTACTCAATTGAGCGTATTATAAAATTTAATTATAATTGTAAAAATCTATCGTTAAATTCAGGTGAAACTAAAAATCATTTTTTTTTTAAATTTATATAGAAAATGTTACAAACAAATTCGGAATATTATAGACTGGTAGTAGCACACACAAATAGAGTTAAAAAATTAATAAATTACAAAGTAAAATTATTTACTTTTGTATCTTTTGAATACTTTTATCATATCAAATCTAATTCGACAATAAATACTTTAAGAATATTAAAAATTAATGATTTTAATTGTTTGTATGGAAAAAGCTGGTTAAGCTACTTTTTATTTGAATAAGGAATATTTTTTTGATTTTTAAGAGTAATAACTTAAACTAATCATTAACTTAAATATCATAAACTTAAATGAATCATTTGACGTAACGTTGAAAAAAGTAGGTCTAGTGAGGGTTGGCAAAATAAATCGTAGCCACAAAAAGAACCACATAGTAAAATAATATTAACATGAATATCAATTCCTTCTCACGAGGGGAGACTATAGTGATAGGATCCTTTATATTTATTGAAGTTATTGAATCTCAAAAAAAAATGCAAAATATTAATTGCCACAGACGGATTTGAACCTCGTACCCTAGGAGTGATAGTTCAATGTGTTACCTATTCCGCAACTGTTCGTTTATTTTTTGTGTGATAAAATTGGCTATTTAAGCTAACTCAAATTTAAAAATTACTTTTTCGACTTTAAAAAAGTAAAAAAAATTTAATAAGTTTAATTTCATATGTCTTATGAACTTTATTCTATGTCAATTAAATTATATAATATTCATGAAAGTTAGTATATTACCCTAATAAGATATTTTAAAATAAAATAAAATACAAAACCCAGAATTTTAATAAAAAATAGCATATTTTTTTAATTTTGACAGCCATTTGCACATAGAAGATAAAGTATCGGGACAAATTTTTTTTTTCATTTTATAGTACATAAAATAAGCTTTAATTTGATATATGTTTAAAGGACGCAGTATTTCCGGAACATTTTCAAAAATTAAGTTGAAAAAGTTAGTTTTTGTAAAAAAATTTCAATTTTAAATCCCCCCCATGAGCAGGTTAAGTGTTAAATTTTCAAAAAAATGATATCAAATGAAAGGAAAATATCTAAGGTTTTAGTATAAAAAAAAATTGTGTTGATTAGTTGATTTTTGAAAAAGTTATGGAAGTTTTAAGAAAAAAAAGTGAAAAAATTTCGAAAATTTATCGATTTTTAAATTTGTAATTTTTTTGGATATTTCCCCCATTTGCGGGGAACGAGGGAAAATTTTTAAATTTTTAAGGGTAATGTCTTCAACTAGATACAATTTGTGATCTTTTGACGTATTGTTAAAAGAAATCGGTCCAGTGAGAGCTGAGAAAAAGTAGTGACAGACACAAAAAAAAAANGTCCAGTGAGAGCTGAGAAAAAGTAGTGACAAACACAAAAAAAAAATAAACACATCATGGTAAAATTAATACCTTCTCAGCTTCGCATCGAAGCTAATATACAGGGAAATATTGTTTTTGGCGAGAGGTGAGAGGGGTGGGGTGAATGCGTTAAGACAGTCTAGTCTCAAGGCCATAGACGACGGGGTACGGGAGTATAATAACACGTGGCGGGTGGAGATTTACAAACAAACCCACAACGTACAAGTGAAACTAATATAAACGTGTTAAAAAGGGTTACACATTGATCTACTACAAAACCACCTAGATAAAATTTTTACTTAAATATAAATATTTTTGAATCTAGTTTTGGCCAGGCCAGAGGAAGATTTAAGAAATATTGGTATCGACCTCTCAATAAAATAGTCTCAAAAGAAAATACTTGTGCAACAAACATAAAAAATTAATAAGGACAAATTATATTTCTAATAAAATATAGAATGTTTAAAATCATTTACAAGTAAAATAAGTCATAGATTTTGTGTAATTAAATCATATTATTTAAATTTTGAATTGTTTTCGTAAGTAATTATATTTACTATATGACGTGTAGTGTAAATTGTATACGTAGTGTATTTAATACCAGTGTTAGCCAGGAGAAGCTTAAAAAAAATATTGGTGTCGAAATCTCAATAAAATGTATTATTTCAAAAAGATACATATTCAACAATGAAAAAATAATGGTATATTATTTATAATAAAAATATAATGTAGAAATGTTATACGTTAAATTACAGTTCAATTAAACTATTCAATGAAATATCAAAAGTATTATTCAAATCTGATATTGGAGCAATCAATTTGATCATGTTACACCAACTTGATTGATAATTAATAATAATGACTTTTTTTTTTTTACTGCTTTACTAGCCTATTAAAGGCCATAGGGGCCTGTCTCAAAGCAGGAGGTTTCTTAACCATTTATACTCCAAAACGGTTGGTTAAACCGTCGCTGGAGAAAGGGATAGCGCTCCAATTACCTAACTGATATTTTTTTCGTCAAATTAAGCCCTTCCGAGTTTCGAACCGATGCAGTGCGCGTCAAGCACTGCCACATTACCGACTCGGCCACACTGTCCCTCTAATAATATAATATTATTAATGTAATTAATATAATATAATTAACTTAATTAATAACTGAATTTTTTAAAATTGTCCCAATGCAAATTATTTTAAATAAGTGTTATTAAAATAAAATTTTATTTCAATAAATCTAATGTCGTCTAAAAATATAATCCTAAAATAGTTGCAATCGGGGTTTTTTAATGCAGTGACTTTACTTTTTAAACATTGACAGAAGTCAATTAACTAGTTTTTCTTTAAAAAATACAATAATGCTAACAATATAATTTCAAAAAGAATTATATAATTTATAAAAAACGCTTATAATGTACAATCATTATTACTTGTATAAAAAATTATATAAAGTAATATTGAACTTATTATTTAATAGATTTATTATTGAAAATTTCTATAATTTCTTTTTTTTGTTTTTATAATAAAATATTTTGAAATACATAAAAATAGTGATGAGGTATAATATAATACTATACGAACTATTATTTAACAATACTGTAGTATTATATTAAACTTTATGTAATATATTTTTATTTTAAAAGAAAAAAAATGTCTTCAGAATTGTTAATGTGATAAAAACAGCTGCCATTTTCAAAAAAGGGATATTTCTGTATTAAAATACTCGATTTTATATTTTTAACTTTATTTTGCTATAACTTTTTGAAAATGTTTGGATAAATACTTTTTTTTTATAGACTTTATATAAGTTCCTTACACGAGACATACTTTTTTAGCTTCGGTGTGAACCTAAGAATTTATAAGTCTTGTGTAAGTGTGAAGTTTTTTATGTTTGTCCATAAAAATTCTCAAATTTTATTGAACTGATTTTAATTATCAATATGTCAAAGGAACTCGATTTTAAAACAGAAGAACTCATGATCACCAAAAATAGGAAAACAACAACTATTAGAAATTTAGACAAATATTATAAAGTTCTAGTGGCGTGTACTGCTAAAATGGCCTTCAGGCTTGCACTGATAAAAATTTTATTGTGTAAAATGTTGCCTGAACAAAATTATTTCTCGCTCTGATTTTTTCCTTCGGATCGTCCCTGAAAATATCAGTGCTCTTATGTGCCATGAGCTAGATTGCCTAAGAAAAACTCATGCCTCCTCTAAGTATTTTAAAAATGATCCTATTTGACGTTTAATGTTAAATATCAATTTGGACCACACTTTAGGCTATTAAATTAATTAAATTTTAGCTTAATCAATATGATGTTTTATATTATATAAGATATGTATAATGCGCAAATACATACACATAACAATGAGCATATTTATTTATTTTCTTATCAAATAATGTTTTCATTATATATATATATATATATATATATATATATATTCTGGTAAAAATGTAACAAGATTTCAATTTAACTGACTGATTTGTGTAATCATTCATTCTTTTTTATGTGACCTAAATAAATTTTATAATTTGTGCTAGAAGAAAATAAGAAATTAATAAACTAGCCTAAATTATTTACAATTTCAAGTGTTCTTTTAAATAAAGATTTTGTTTGTATATAAAAACATTTGAATCTTAAAGTATCCTCTATGTCTACGAAAAAAAAAATTATCTCAAAGTGTACTAAATACTTATAAAAGAATTCTATATTTGTGTACAAATACTTTTTGGGTCATTTGATTACTCAATACGAATAAAAAAAATACATTTTCAAAGTATATTTTACGGGTTTGGTTATAAAATAAATATATCAATAATAAAGCTTAATAAATACATTAACGTGTTTTAAGACCCTAATGTAGTTGTAAAACTTAGCGACATTTTTTTTCTTTATTCGACACTTCATTACTTAAAATAACTTATTGTTTCATATATTATGAATATTATTTGTCTCAAAGTATTACTTGAATAATTTATAGCAAAAATGTGTTATTTACCAATATAATTTTACAATTTTATTTTTATTTATTATCTCAAGGTGAATTAAAGTTTTTTCATTTTAATTTTTGTTATCGGTTTTATAATACAATTTTTTTATATTTATGTAACATTATTATTATTATTTAATACAACTTTTTAAATGATTAAATAATATAATTTTTTTTTTGAAAGTTTTTCAGAATTCCGCTAATATTTTGGGCCTATACCAATTCATGGAGGAGTAGAAACATTTTTTATAGCTTGTCCAGCATAATCTCCCATTATTCTTTATAAACAACTTAATATACATTATGGTGGTAAATCTTTCTTCATTTTTCTACATTTATATGGATATAATTCTTAATACTACTAAAAATGATTTTATGTGTTGAAACAATGTATTGTTCCAATGAACCTTATGTATTTCCGTTTAATTTGATATATTTTCTTTGAAACTCTGACCCTTTACCTGCCCACACCTAGAAATAGGTCGTTGGGAACCAATCCTTCCTAATTTTTTTTTGGAAATACTTATTTTGTCTTTAAAACATTATAACATTTAAAAAAATATTTTTAAAAAGGAATTTACTTTTTTATAGCTTTGTTCGTTTTTTAAAGTTATGAAAAAGAGTTTGGAGTACCACAACTATTCATTCAAAATATCAAATTTGAAACTTTCTTTGTGTAAATTTTTAACATCTTAGTTACTCTTTAACCTTTAAAACCTTAGAATTTTTTTTTCATTTTGATATCATTCTTTTGAAAATATGCTCACAGGGGGGATTTAAAGTAGCAGCTTTTTTACAAAAACTAACTTTTGAAAATGTTCCGGAAATACTGCATCCATTAAACATATAACAAATTAAAGTTTATGTCATGTACTATAAAATGAAAAAAAAAATTTGACTTGACACCTTTTTTCTATAGGGAAATGGCGTCGAATTTAATGAAAAATGTAATTTTTATGTAAAAATCACTGTTTAACATAAAATATTTTAAAACTTAAAACTGCCATAACTCTTTGAAAAATGAACGAGATAAATTATTTTTTATTTATATTGAAACCTTATATATTTTTCATTCATTAAATATAATTTTTTTGAAAATCTGACTCTAAACCTGCTAGAGGGGGAATTCGACAAAACAATTTTTGCACACAAGTTAAGCTCTTTCAATGTAGTATTTGAAAATGTTCCAAAAATATTAACACTTTTATTAAATTAAATTAAATTCATCTTAAATTAAAGCTTATATTATATACTTTACTATGAAAAAAAGTTCGAATTATAGATTTTCTTCTTGATGAAAATGGCTACCGTATTCGAAAATATACTATATTTGTGTTAAAATTCTGTTTTGTATTTTATTTTAAAATATCTTACAAGGGGAATACACTGATTTTCATGAATATTATATAATTTAATAGACATAGAATAAAGTTCATAAGACATAAGAAGTTAAACTTATTTAAATATTTTTGCTATTTTAATGTTGAAAAAGTAACTTAAAAATTTGAATTAGCTTAAATTGTCAATTTTATCGATTGACGAAAGCGACGAACACTTGCCGAGTCGGTAACACTTGTGTCTTTCACTGTTAGGGTACCAGGTTCGATATGCCTGTAGCAATTCATCTTAAGCATATTTTTTTGTGTTAGAAAAAATTTTCAAATAATTTTATTTTTATCTAATTTAGATTTATTAACTTTAATAAGTATCAAGGATCCCATTACTGCAGTCTGCCCTCATGAGAATAAATTTCTTATTTATGAAAATATTATTTTACTATGTGATTTTTTTTTTGTGACTCTCATTTATTTTCTCAACTCTCACAAGACCAACTTTTTTTAACGATATTTCAAATGATTATAATGCGTATTTAGTTGAAGATATTACCCTCAAAAATTGAAAACTAATCCCTTAATTAAATTAAAAGTAGCTTAACCAGCTTTATCCATACAAACAATTAAAATCATTCATTTCTAATAATTTTAAAGCATTCTATTTATTGTCAAATTAGATTTGATATGATTAAAGTATTCAACTGCGCACAATGGACCAACAGGTCTGAGTTCATGGGCATTATATCCAACTCGATAATAACTAAAGTATTCAACTACAAAAGTAAATAATTTTACTTTGTAATTTATTAATTTTTTAAATCTATTTGTGTGTGTTACTACCAGTCTATAATATTCCAAATTTTACCATGTTATTATATAAATCATAAATCTAAAAATGGATTTTTACAATTATAATCAAATTTTATACACTAAATTAAAAATGATTACTATGATTTCTATTTAAGTAATCTATTATGATAAAAATGCCAAAAAAAAAAACGTGTTTTTCTGATAAATTTACCGTAAATAGTAATTATAAAAAATGCTGACTCAATATTAATTTTAACAATACCATTTTTTACTATTTATTGATGTCAATTTCAAACTTGCAAGTTGAGCTACATTTTATGGCAATAAATTCAATTTTTTTTTATTAAAAACTTTCACAAAAAAAAATAGATTACTTTTAACATATTAAATATCAAAATCAATAACAATTTGAAAACAATTAATTATAAAAATTATATATTATATTTTTGAATCTAAGAATTACTAATCAGGATATAATTAAGGAAATAGGTGTTGCTTTTGTAATTATCCACCAATTTCATAGAATTAAACACTTTCTTTTGATTTGCATCGAAACGTTTCTTATGATAGTGATTTTAATCACAGTAAAATTAAATCTACATTGGACACAACTCTGTCATACTCCTACTGTACCGCGACCCAACTGTGCTGGGATTTTTTTTATATATACGATTGCTAATATATACAATAACCTAATACAAAACTATTTTATAATTTTTCCATGCAAATAATAGTATTGTGTTTTTATTACAGTATATGTAAATTCATTATTCTAGTCATTATTTTACATTTTATTTATAGAACATTTATTCAATGGTTATTATATGAGTACGAATGAATATTATAAATTTTATTCATGTTTTATACTTTTAAGTCAAAAAAATACTAATTTAGTTATAATCAAAAAAATAGGAGTTGATATTGCTTTCAAAAAACTTCATCAATTTCTTAAAATTGAACATTATCTATATATCGGAGCGTTTTTTAAGATAGTGATTTTAACGGCTATCAGATTAATTTATACATGACCCAAATATTTCACGTCCATACTATGCAGCGACCATACCGTGCTACCGTTGTTTTTGCAAAGAGCAAATGACTTTTTATAAGTCATAATTTGAAATTCGTAGCAAATATGATCCAGATTTTGTTTTTACTAATCGGTTAGTCTGAGAAATCTTTAGAGAAGTATCACATTAATGTTTAGACATACGTGGGGTTATTTTTTTTTGAAGAATATTTAAATAGAAATATATTTTTAAATAAAGATTTTTCTAATATATCGGATAGTTTACCTCAAGATATATATAAATCGTTAGAGTGGTTTGAAGTCTTTAATTTCGGCTATAAAATCAGAATAATATACAATTGATTATTATTCGGAAGAAAATGTATTTAAACTTTTTGTGATAACTACTGTTTGTGCATACAACTATATGCATTTAATATGCACTAATAGTATAAACCATAATTATATTATAATAATATCACATTAAGAGTATTTTTTTTTTTTATTGACAAGGCTTCAATTTTTTTTTATTAGTCAAAATATATAATATTATAGAGTTTTCTTTTAATAGCAATATATCCAATTATTATATTAATAATAATGCGAAATATGGTAGCATGACAAAAACTAATGATAAAAAAATCACTTCAGTTTTACATTAAGTCTCAATTTTAATTTTTTTATACCTAAAGAATAAAAATTATAATTCTAATGTCTTTTTTTAAATTAAATATTTTTTTAAGTTATCTAGATAGAATTTAAATGCTGTAAAAATTTATTAATAATTTTCATTTAGCAATTCAATATAAAAGTTCAAAAGACAAACAATCATGCCAAATAGAAGAAGAAACAGCGAGAAAATGTGCAGACAATGAAAACTTGAAATTGTTAAAAAATGATTTTGATAAGGGATATAAATGGGATAAAAATACAATAGCTACTGCTGCTGCTAATGGATATTTAGAAAGCCTAAAATATTTACTTGAAAATGATTGTCCGTGGAATAACATCACAACATTATCAGCTGCAGATAATGGTCATTTAGAATGTTTAATATATGCTTATGAAAATGGCTGTAAATGGAATGAATTAGATATTGCGAAAAGTGCCATTAAAAAAGGTAATCTAGAAATATTAAAATATGTTCATAAAAAAGGATATAAATTCAATGAACTCACAACTAATATGGCTGCGATAAGTAATCTAGAAATTTTAAAATACAGAGTGGCCCACCACTCACTGACAACTTAAATAACTTTTGATCCAGTTAATATTTTTAGTTTATTTTTTTTTTAAATAATAGTTATACGTTAGGTCTATAGCTATATCTCAATAATTAATTTCTTTATATTTTATTAAAAATATTAATTATTTTTAAATTTTAAATAAAATGTAAAAAAAAATCTAAGATAAGTATTTTGTAGAGTAGAATTTAAGAAAAATTTTAGTAAAAAAATATCTTATTAATATTCAGTAGTAAATATTCTGTAGCGTTTTGAAGTTTGTGAAAATTTGAATTTTCATGTATTATTTTACGGTATTAAACATTGAAATACGTATTGAGAAAAGGACAGAAGAAAACGCTATCTTTTCAATATACTTTTGAATGAGAGTGATAAGTAATAATTGCCTTATCTAATTTCTTATCATGGTATTAATGCCAAGTTTGTAATGTATACACANTTTCTTATCATGGTATTAATGTCAAGTTTGTAATGTATACACATTATCATCATATGTATACACAGTAATCATGAAAAGATAGCGTTTTCTTCTGCCATAAGTAGTGATGTAAGAATTTATAAATATGCTCATAATAATGGAGTATTTATGGAATCATAATATCATAAGAAATGTATTTTTGGATAATATAGTAATTTTTGATTACTATATTAACGAAAACATGTAATAATTAATACATGTATTCCATAAAAATATGTCACCAAATAATGGTGTCCTTTGATATAATTAATAAAAAAAAATAATACTTTTTCTTCTACAAAAATTAATTAACCTCTTCTGCATTCACAAGGCTAAGAAAATCTAACAAAATATATCAAATGACTCTCATCAGAATTCTCTAAGCTTTTTATAGACTTTCATAAAACCATTGTTTCAATTAACGGAAGTCATTAGTCAATATTCTGTCACATGTAATGCCGTCAGTATAAGCAAACATTTTTCCTTAGGACATGAATACATTTGGTGATACAATTTTTCAATACATAAAATACATTAGTATTTGATTTATTTATTTATTTATATTTATGTTGTATTATATTATGTTACACACTATATAGATTATAAAAAAGATATAGTATTTTATTGTGTCTATTGCTTATTATCCTAATTAAAGGGTCATAACTTGGCTGGACAGAGTACTAGCATAATAATAGCATTAGCAAAGTTTTAATTATCCTTAGGCATTCTCCAAAGTATCTTTATAGATTGAGAAAGCCATAACCAAACTTAGTAACGACAGCCAAGGGATATAAATGATATCCGTTCACCCAACTCTCTCATCTCACGTCTGTAAGACACACCCTCCTCCTACAATTGTCCCTATTAATTTTTAATCTCCTCATCTCGAGCTTTAGTGTATTTATATTATTGGGTTACCTGTTGATTTAAAATGTCAGTATAATCACTAAAAGATGGCCCTCTGTTATTTATTCTGAAGTTCGAATTTTTATAAATTATGTTTTAATTTTTTAAAATCAGAATTATCCTGTAAAGAAATAGCGTGTAAAATAGATTCTTTAAGACCCCTTAAAATGTAGGTACAGATTTGATCTTCAGACATGTTTTTATCTATCTTTCTACTCAGATTTTCTACTTCCGTTACAAAACTCATTACTGACTCTAAGTCATTTTGTCGCCTATTTTCAAGTTTATTTTTTAATAACGTCACATACCTTATTGGTTAAAATTCCTCAATAAATTCTTGTTTTAAAGCTGCCCATTTCCATGAGGCGGATTTTTCCTCTAAATTTTCAAGAAAAATGCTAGCCGCATCCTTAAGAAAAATGGATAAAAATTTTACCTTGTCATCATCAGTCCAACCATTTACTTCTCCTGCCTTATCGTATTGTTTAAAAAATTGGCATACATCATCACTTCTGTCAAAACATTCAGGTTTAATTATTAAAGTTTTTAATGTGTTTGTCATATTTTTATTCATTACGCTCTCTTCCGTATTTTCAATTAAATTTATTTTACAGTTATTAGTGTTTATGTTTCTGTTACCAGTTATTTTTACAAAATTGTTTTTTGATTCAGTATTAGAATTAAAATTCGAACTTAATTCAATATATTCGTTAGTTACTAAGTAATTCGAAGAATTTAAACTATTTTGTGATAAGTTTATTTCTTCATAATCATTATCATCAGAAAAAGTTACAATTTTTTTATTTTTAGCTACCTCTACAAAAAGGAAGTTAGTATAAAGACCGTTATTAAATAAATTATTAATGTATAAATTTTCACTAGTATATAAACAAATTTCCACCTTTTCTACAATATGATTAGTCCTAACATATAATTTATCACATAATACATTACATTTATTTAATAATGTGTATGAAAGCCTATCTGGATTCAGAATTTGAACTATAGTTCTAAACTATAATCCTAAATCACGTCCTATTTTCTTAAGATCAATTTTTTTATTAGAAGATTCTTTTAGAATTAAATGTTTTTCTTCTAGACTTAATTTATTATCACTATCCTCTATTTTAAAAATACACTTATAGTATCTAGTTAATCTAGATCTTAATTCATCTACTTTCCCAGTAGAATCTAATTTTAAATTTTCACAAATAATTATTAACTCTGCTTTCTTTAAAATGTTATATCGGTTAATCTCTTGATAGAGATGAAAACTTAATGTCCTAAACGTACCACGCGAAAAGAGATTATCTTCAGTACTCCCGAAGGCTTCTCCTCTCTTTTCAATTCATTCCATTTTGTCTTTTATATTAAAATATTTTCTTTTTCTTTTTTACAAAATTCATAATACAATCATTTTCAAAAATGTTTATAAATATTTTCTTTCTGGTCTAATAACAATAATTCAGGGAATTACAATTAATCTAATTATTACAAAAATAATGACCTATATTACATAGTGCAGAAAATAGCCGTATAGCACACTAACATAATTTATTGTGTATAAAATCTATAGTACAATAATATTTAACCTAAGCCATCCTTTAGGTGATTGAAAAAACATTCATTATATCATAATATTTTTATATTATGTGAATAATATTCATATCATTAAGATCTTTACATAAAGATACCAATTTTGTTTGAGATTTTTTGTTGATATAACCACTATGAAATAAAATTTATATTGGAGTCGAAATATTATATTAAATAGACAAGCAATTAGAAAACCCAGCACAGTGAGGTCGAGGCATAGTGGGGATGTTGATAGTTGGGTCCAGTATAGATTTAATCTGACAGTGATTAAAATCACTATCATAAGAAACGCTTCGATGCAAATCTGTAGATAGTGTTTAATTCTAAGAAACTGATGGATAATTACAAATTATTGAAAATTTTATTCTAACTCAAAAAAAAATGCAAAATATTAATAGACACAGACGGATTTGAACCTCGTACCGTAAGAATGAAGAACATAAGTGTTACCGATTCGACAACACTTCGTTGCTTTCGTTGCTTGATAAAATTAGCTATTTAATCTAACTCAAATTTAAAAATTACTTTGTCAAATGAAAGATGTACTTATAATGTATTTAGAAAAAAAAAATTTGTGCTGATAATTACATTTTTCGAAAAGTTATAGAACTTTTAAGTTGAAAATTTAAAATCGAAAATTTTAACACAAAAATAGCGTTTTTTTAAATACGGCAGCCGTTTACATGCAGAAGATAAAGTGTCTGGAAAATTTTTTTTTTTTCATTTTGTAGTACATAAAATAATATTTAATTTGATATATGTTTAAAGGACACAGTATTTCCGGAACATTTTCAAAAATTAAGTTGAAAAAGTTAGTTTTTGTAAAAAAGTTGCTATTTTAAATCTCCCCCAATAAGCAGGTTAAGTGTTAGATTTTCAAAAAAATGATATCAAATAAAAGGTAAATATCTAAAGTTTTAGTATAAAAAAAAATGTATGTTGATTTGTTGATTTTTGAAAAAGTGATAGAAGTTTTAAGAAAAAAAAGTGAAAAAAATGACAAAATTTACCAATTTTTAAATTTGTAATTTTTTTGGATATTTCCCCTATTTGCGGGGAACGAGGGAAATTTAAAAATGTAAAAATTACAATCTAGAATTTTCTAGAATGCTTTAATTTAAGGTATATATAAAAGTGTCAGTCTTTCCGGAACATTTTCAAAAGTTAAGTTGAAAAAGTTAATTTTTTGTAAAAAAGCTACCATTTTGAAACCCTTCCTGTGGGCTAGTAAAGAGTTAAATGTTCACAAAAATATATAAAATGATAGGTAAATATCTAAGGTATCTATATAAAAAAAAATTATATTGATATGGCCATTTTTGAAAAAGTTATGGCAGTTTTAAGTAAAAAAAATTGAAAAAATTTCGAAAATTAGCGATATTTAAATTTGTAATTTTTTTGGAGGTTTCCTCCATTTATAGGGAACGAGGGAAATTTTTTCAATTTTTAAGGGTAATGTCTTCAACTAGATACGATTTGTGATCTTTTGACGTATTTTTGAAAGAAATCGGTCCTATGAGAGCTGAGAAAAAGTGGCAACAGACATAAAAAAAAAAAAAAAAACATCATAGTAAAATTAATACCTTCTCCGCTTCGCATCGAAGCTAAAANAAAAAACACATCATAGTAAAACTAATACCTTCTCATCTTCGCATCGAAGCTAAGAAATTGGTAATCAGAATATAATGAAGAAAATAGGAGTTGATGTTGCTTTTAGTATAATACATCAAATATTTACTAATCCAAAATATGCCACGCCTGCATTGTTTAGTGACCCCACTGTGTTATCATATTTTGAAATTAACGTATACTTTAAAAAATAATACTTATATACTATTTATATTAAAATAATGGAAGAGCTATTTACGTAAACATCACTGAGTATAATATTTGAAATAAATAATAAAGTTAAAAAATTAAATAATATATCTTTAATAATTTAAAATTTGTTATTTATTGTTATTGTTCGAATTAATTTAATTAAATAAATTAGTAAAATAATAAATATTAACAAATTACAGTACTGTCATAATTTTGACTAGAAACATCAATAAAATGTATTGAAATATAATCCATTACAACTTATCATTTTTTTTTTTTACCAATTATCAAATTATCACTCAATTAGTAATTTATCTATTATTATTAGTGACGCAAACAATGACAGTTAGGGGGTTAACCCCCTCCAAATTATTAGCGATGTTTAAATTTGTTAATCGTGGAAAGCTTACTTTTTTCGCTTATGTGAATTTTTCTAAAATTTATAGTGTAAGAACATTTTTTTACTATATTCTTATCACTTACATTATACACTTTGTATATACTTTGTCTGTAGCCCGGAACTACTAACGTTGAACTAATAAAGAGCAGTTGTGTTTGAGTGGCCGTTATAGATATAGTTTTCGATAACATTCAGGCAATTAAAATTCATTTAAGGATATAGGGACAATATTTGGGCTCACGTCGGATAGATTCCGATTCTTGGATTTGACGAAGACCCCTAGCAATAGTAAGCAAAATACAAACTAATAACCTCTTGAAATTATTGTCTGGTTGCGCAATTGAATATTACCTTTGATCTTATACAGATACTAAGTAATTGGTTTTTGATTACGAATGTGCATTGTATAGAAAAATAAAAAGTAAAATATAAATTATAAATTATGATAAAATCACATGGCAATGAAATTATATTGTTTGAGGGTATTAAGTCATTTTATTTTTATTAAAAGTTTATTAGAAGTATTTTTATTATTATTACAACCCTAAAACAAAGTTTATTTTAATGTGATAAAATATAATTATAACATTATAAATATTATGAAAATATTCTGCCAATGCAAATTTAGTTATTGTTTTCAAATTGTGTATGTATAGATATCTAAAAATAATACATTTTTATAGTTATAGTTTAATATTTATTATGAATGCTCTTTTTAAATTCAAAAATTAAAAAAAAAATGAATTATGGTATATATATATATATATAGATTATTGTAACCAAGAAATTGTCATTAGTTATTCAGAATATAACACTTAGTATAAAAATGAAGGTGAGAAATACAGATTACCTTATGTGCTTCATTAAAATCTAAATAATTATTTTATTTTATTGTAGAATTGGCAAATTATATCTGTTCTGCTGATAATATCGTGTTTGATATTTAACAAAGGTAAATTTTATATTACAATATTTACTCTTATTAAGCTTACTATCTATCCATTATAGTTTATTTTTTTTTTTTAAGCAATACATATAGTTTAATAATAGCTTTGAAACTACCCTCCTAGTTATACAAAATGACCTATTAAAATTAAGATACTCGATTTATTGGAAACTATTGAAAAAATTATTTAATTTTTAATTAAATTTTCGTAAGGAAAAAAAATGATTGCTACAAAAAAATCAATAATATGTAGTAAAATATTTTTTTGTAATTTAAGAAAAAAAAACTAAAACTTATATTTTCTTTAATGGGAATTTCATTTTTATTATTTTAATGATATAGCAGACGACAATAATTTCAAACATAACTGTTCTTAAAATATTTTTCAATTTGATATTCTTATTAAAAACTGCCGAAACTTTTAAAAAAATTAATAAATAAATAAAATTTTTTAAGTACATTAGGGATTTTTATATTGTATATTTTTTTTAAAAAATCAGACCCTCGGCCTGGCCACAAGGATTTAAAATGGCAACTTTTGAAAATGTTCCGAGAAAATTTATTCATATGTAAAATTTAAGCTTTTATAATTAATTTTATTTAAAATAAATAAAGTTATAGTTTAGTTATAAATAAAGTTTCACCTCTAGACTGGTTTTTGCGTAGAAAATGGACATCAAAGGGAAATAGCGATTTATGTGTAAAGAATTGAATATTAAAAAAAAATGTAATAAAATGTTCTACAAAAACGTATTAGAAAGTTTTTTTTTTTTAAGTTTTATGTTTTCAAGTAAAAAGAAAGTTTGAATGACTACAACTCCTAATCTATAAAACAAATTAATCAAAATTAAATATCCTTAATCCAAATTTTTTTTTAATTTAAATTATATACCAATATTACTTTTTAAAAAATGTACAATTAGGCGATTTTTTTATTTTCAAATAGCCTATAAGAAAAACCATGAGGCCACCGATTTTTCATAAATTTTGAAAAATTAAAAATTTTTATTTTTCTTAAGTCGAGAAAAACTTTGAAATTTTGAATCAACTTAAATTGATCTTTTATTCAACAGACAAGAGCGAATTAAGATTGCTGAATATATAACACAAGTCTTCCATATTTGCAGAATGAGGTTAAATTGCTTGTTGTAATGACTTATTATGCACTTTATTTCTAAGTATTATTTTATTGGAATTTCATTTTAACCTGGATATGTTTGTTTAGTTTTATAGTTTAAAATACTAATTACGATCTGAATATTTCAATTGCGGCATCTTTTTAAACACAAAGAGTTAAAGGAACGATTACTATGATTTCAATTAAAATTATTTATTTCGGTATTAATACAAAAATTTTTAATTTTAAGTAAATTTTGATATTTTCTTATAAATTTACTGTTAGTAGTAATTACATAAGTTTCTGGTCACATATCAATAAATAAACCATTTTTCATACTCATAAAATTTTCCATTTAATGATATGTGGTGATATTCAATTTCAAAATTGGTACTTGAACTATTACGTAATAATCAACTTTATGGGACCAAACACAAAGATTATACATAATTCTTGTACTGACATTTTGCATAGATTATTGTTAACATATTAAAAACTAAAAGCAATAATAATACTTTTTCTTTTTAATTAATATTTTATTATTAAATATTCATTTATTACTAATTGTCAAATATTAGAGGTGATAGAAAAAATCTAATTGCAGATTTAAATCAGCGCAAAAAATGATTGGGTAGGATTGGGTTCCGATTCAAAATTAACAGAAAATTAAAACAATAATAAAATAAAAAGAACTTTTTTTTATTGAGTACTAAAGATATATTTTACATTACATCTGCTCACAGAGTGTTCTAAATAGTAATTTGTGTATAAGTAGTTAACTTATTTTGCTTATGATATTCCAAGGATTATTGTTTTTTTGTTATATATTTTTTTAGTTTTAGGTAAGGTGGACATAATGCCCATGCACTCAGACCTGCTGGTCCACTGTGCACCTAATACCGAATTATCTTGATTCGGTTTACACACCTAAGTGTTATTACATTATACCTATCATTATATAAAATTGGACTATCAAGTCACCTCCTGTAGATGATCAAAGAGTCTTCTCTTTCTGATGAAATTAAGTATCTCTAGGGTCTTAGGTTTTTAATATTTTCTTTTTTAGGAAAAGGTTAACTCAAGTAGTTTGATCTTAGTATGGACAAGGCTTCACATTCGCACATTATGTGAAAAGAGTCTTCCTCTTCTACTCAACACTTGAGCACAAAAGTGATTCCAATACCCTCATTTCGTACACATGTTTAAACAAGTGACCATGTCCTGTTAGTTAACCAGTCAAAGTGCTTATTTGATGTCTAGTCATGCTATTAAGATTACACAGAAGTAGACCTAGGGTCTTGATAAACGTTTTATATTGTCTAGGTACTACCAATTTTCCTGTGTTGTTGTCTGCACCAATTCTTGGGTAGCTCTTTGAGCGATTGCTCAGTGAGTCCTACCACTGGTTCCGGCCCGACATAGGCGTTCTCTGCTCCTTCCTTAACTAAAAAGTCACTTTTTTTATTTCCAACGACACCGTTGTTCTGGTACTTAGGCTAGTGTAACTTTGTTGAACTTCGATAGTGATTCTAAAGTTTCCTGCATTCGAGGACAAGCTTTGAATTCACTTGGTCGTTACAGAGTCTTTTCAGAGCCACTTGACTATCACTTAAGGTAGTTATCTTCGTTTTATTAATTATCAGCAGGTTCTGAGCTCCTACCAGTATCATCTCTGCTTGGAAAACTTATGGTGTTGTGCCAATTGACACGCTGAAATTTATTCAAGGCTTTATACCTCAAAAAACAGCATCTACCTTCCTGATATTTTGGATCCATCTGTCTATATTACAAATCCACTTTTCTCAGTCAGGCGATTAATATTCTATTCTTTACGTGTAGTGATTTCCGCTTTGTAGGGAATGTTATTCTTTAGAACCGGTTTGATATAATTTGTGCAATGCCGGCTACATTTTACTTTAGTATTGACAATTTGAGATTTTGTAATCTATTGTTTGACTAAAAACTAATATGACCATTGTGGAAGGAACGAAAATATATAAAATTTGTAAATTGAGACTTACAATATAATCGTTAGAAAGAAAAAAAACGACGCATATATGATAATAACAATATGATATTTTCAGTTATAAAAAATAAAACAAATAAACAAGAGCAAATGATAAATGAAATTAGAACAAATTACTAATGTATAAATAACAAACTATCCCAATATATAATATATATGATGTGTGTATATGGGGCCGCCTCTCCCCATATACTCATTTTAGCGCCTCATTTAGCGCCTCTCGTTGGCGCCTCATTTTAGCGCCTCTCGTTGGCGCCTCATTTTAGCGCCTCTCGTTGGCGCCTCATTTACCTGTTATCACATTATAGTTAGAGGAGAGTGTATGTAATGCTTATCAATGAAGCTATTTGATAAAAACGTATTTTAGCGCCTCATTTTATATTTGATAACATATTTTAGCGCCTCTCGTTGGCGCCTCATTTACCTGTTATCACATTATAGTTAGAGGAGAGTGTATGTAATGTTTATCAATGAAGCTATT